TATTAAGATTACTCCTATTCTTCAGAAAAATTTTTAAAATCCTCAATTTTCTCATTTATAAAGGAATAAAGGTGTACGTCGGCATGTCGTAGGAAAGAATGCGACGCGCAAATCAAGTTTTGAAAAACTAAACCGACGGGTTGCGCGCAACTGTTTTTGTTCAAATGTACATAGAATCAGGTCAGAGTTAGGACACGTGTTGTAATAACTTCTTTACCTGATTCTTAGCCAAGAAATTGATATGATTGGAATTGATTTGTCACGCCTGCGTCATTATTTGATATGTGGTCAATGCTGAGCAATCGAGCATGTGGTTCCTGAATGAGTCCGTAAATGGACACTGGATCAATATGGGATTTATACCCACCGTTTGAGGTGTCACTTTGCAGCGTGGTAACATACAATCTTCGGTGAATTTATGTTCCGTTGGGTTGCTTAAAGAGCAAATGTGCAGTTTTCTAAGCAATACGATTTGTATAATCAATCGTATGTATAGGTAGGCAGTTAGTTCCCAAATGGCTGAATCTAACGCCCAGAACAGCCCAAGAGAATCCAGTAATAGGCTTGTTCTGCTCAGCAATAAACATTCATGTTTCTATTGGCGCTCTTATCGCACCGGTGTATCTCGACTGTTGTTCACTTGCAACATCATTCCAGATAGGATGGGTACGTACTTCAACGGGGTCACCGCTGCCCTTCGGTTCGCTAAGGACTACACGATAGCTGCTGGAGCCTATCTTCTTGCCAGTAAAGCACACAAGTAAGTAATTCATAAACTTCTTTCTTTTCTTTTTGCATCTATATGCAGTAATCCATTCGGAAGTCCAACATATACTTACTATTTTCACTTAATATATCTCGACGATCGGATTAAAATTTTGTGCTGAGACTGCCTATCATGGTTATTTGGCACGCTGAACACTGTCGTTTATTTTCTGTATCACGCCTTTCTGATTACGGTAGGTATGCGGGAAATGGCGAAGATCTCAAAACTGCTCGATTCTTTTAGGGCAATTCTTCAGTATGCTGATTGAACTTATGTGAACAAATCATATCATAATCGTGCGTATACTGAAGATTCCTCTAGACGAAATTTGGAACACATTTGCGGTTCTGAACCCATCTACCGTATGCCCGTCATAACCTCAAAGGCATTTCCAGGCGGAGTTTCATTTTCCCTTAACATTTTCGGGGCTTTCTCGCCATAAGGAGCCCCATATATGAGCTTTTCCGTGCATAAAAATGGCAAAAATGAGCTTTTTTCAAAGCTTTCCACCGCCGTGGGTCCGGCATAT